TTGAACGTCTGTGGGAGCCATTTCCAAGAATCTGCATTAGGAGCACAAAGGGTACACTTGCATCTTTAATAGCAATAGAAAAATCTGCATGAATTAGACACAGATTTCATTTCTGAGCATTTAACACCCGTAAAAGGGGATGCAGCCTAATTCCCTTTGCTCCAGCATATTCCCTAGCATATGGTTATCTGTTCAGTCTGTTCCCAGAGACACCCCAGACTGTCTCTGTGCCCTGAATTCAGTGGGTGCCATTTCCCTGCTTTTTCTTAAACCTTGTTTTCTCTCCACCCAGTTAAATGACATTTACCAGGCAGAATCTGTTGTTAGTGAGCAGAGTACAAGACATGAGCTGCAGACTCAGATCAAGACCTGTGCTTATACTCACCCAGATTTTAGTCATCAAAGGGAGGTTTCTATAGCTGCCACCTCTTACACAAGCAAGCCCTACAGGAATGTGCCTGAAAGGACGCCTGCAATAACAGGTAAGAAAGGAAGGTGTATTTGGAGGATTTCAAAAACTGACACAGTTTTTGCTTCAGCCTGTTTGTATTTGCAGTCTTTGGAAAGGTGGCCTGAGATTACTTTCCAAAGTAGGTCTGCCATCTGGGAAGCCAGAAAACCTGCAAGTACAGCCCTAGGCATGGTCAGAAGCTGCCCTCCAGAAAATGCAGGTGCCTCTGTGCCTGAGCAGGTGACCGTGTGTGTATTGTCTGTCCAGCACTGTGCAAGGTGAGCACATGGGCAGGAGGTGGCAGGTAGGGCAGGGACAGTGCTGGTGGCTCTCTCCTAACCACCCCTGAGCAAGGGAAAGTTGTGGCTTTGGCATCTTAGTGTTCCTGTCTCTGCAATCAAGAGTGTGATAAATCACCATACAGTCTGTTCACTGTGTCTGAGGTTTAAACCTGGGAATAGGCTGATTTTCTGTTGGATATTTTTTTGGCCCTGTGGCAATGTACTGCTAAAATTGCATTAGAGAGCCAGACAATATATTATTCAGATTTTTAAAAGGTACACATGGGATTTATGGCACCACTGTCAGTTGCTCTTTTTTTCCTGTTTTTCAAAAATCATGTGTAAATTTCTGTAATTATAGCAAACAGACCATTATTTAATTCAAATTTTTGCCTGTCAAATAAATTACAAAGATAGGACAAAGCAACAGGTTCATTTGAGGGATTTTTTTTTTTTTGTGTGTTAAATTATTTAACAATTTCTACTTGTTTTTGAAACAGTTTTGAATTAGCTGCTTCTTGGAAGCTGTATCAAATGCCTGTAGGTTTTGATTTTTTTTTCTTTCCAGAGAGATATAAATAAAATACTGTGGCAGCTAAGCCCAAACTCTGTGCTCTGACCACAGAACTGGATATGAGATGAACATAGATTTTACATCCTGGGCAATTATAAAAAAAAAGTTTTAAAACTATATTAAAAAAAAAATATATAGTCTTCTGTTGGTTCAGTCTTTTAATGTTGAAACTGACCAAGCTCTGCCCTGTTAAAGATTGCATTTGACAGCTTCTGGAGCAGGACTTGGTGCCTAGGAATGGCTGGGTGTCATTATCCACAATATATGGGGCCAGGGACACTGACAGGGACTGGCGGGTATGATGTAGGACCTAAGGGAGCCTTTCCAGAGCTTCAGTGGCTGACCCCAGGGGAGAGCACATCAAATAGTGAAAAATGTCTGTGTCTGGGTGCCTCGATCCCATGCTCAGTCTCTCACTGTGGCATTCAGAGTCACAGAACATAGAACCTAGAATATCCATAGTTGGAAGGGATCCACAAGGATCATCAAAGTTCAACTCCTTGACTTTAAGGAGTCAGGCTGTGGTACCTGCATTTTGGTGGCTCCAATGAGAGTTGTAGAGCCTGGAGATCCATTCGGTTTATCCTAAAGTATTAAGCTGCAGCACTCTGAGCAATGTTGCCTACATTAACTGTATCTCCACAGAAAAGATATCTGGTAGCTGTCTTTATCTTCCACCATCAGTAACTCACATCCCTCCTGAGCTGGAGTGGGGATATCCATGTTACAGGTGATGGCAGGTTGGGTACTCTGTGATCAGCAGCCGGGCAGCTCAGGAGGAGAGGGGCAAGGTTATGGCAGGAACTTGTACTGTCCTTGGGCAATGAAAACTTTCTTTAAATTACTGCACTAACTCAACAGTTACAACATAGACTGAAAAAAATCTACTTTCAGCCTCTGTGAGCTGGAGCCCAGTGCTGATGAGGGTTAAGGTGGCTTCTCCATGGCATGGCAGGAAGAGCAGCATAGGGATGCAGCCAGTCTGGAATTGAAGGCAGGCTCCTGCCCCAGTCTGCAGCCCTGGCAGGGGTGAGCATCCACCAGAGACCACCAAGAGTCCTCCTTGCTGCTGCTTGTGCAGAGCTGCTGGAGGAAGAGTCTCTTGATCAGCCACCCAGTTGCCTCCTACATAGTAAATTTGGTAGCTGAAGCCCTTAGGGCAATATGGGTCCATCAGGGTTTGGATTTTTCTTTCAACACCTTTGTAAATGGTGAAGTTGAATCAAGAAAAAGCCTGCTTAATTTTCTTGATTTGTTTTAAACCTGGAAGTCGCATACATAATAGATACTTGTCTTCTGACTCGTGAAATGGGAACAACTGCTTAGAAAAGCATGAAGATGTGATGAAGAGGAGACTGCTTTTGATAGTTGCTTTACAAAGCAGATTTTTATTGTAAGGGTTAACATATAAATATCTTGCAGGGCTTGGCTCCACAATATCGATGCTGGCAACGTTGTTGAAGTTTGTCTGAACTGAGAATGAGACCATCCTGCTGGGTTTTTAGATTATGTGTTGAAAATGTAGGCTCTTTCTTGCTACTTTACATTTTGTGACATAAACTTTATGTAGAAAGCACAAGGGGACAATTAGGAACATTAATCATACTCCCAATATTCCTATCAGCCTCAGGAAGAAGGATGTCCTGCAAGATGGAGCAGAGAAGAACCTGCCACGTTCATAAAGGAAAACACAGGGTCAAACTCCAGGTTTGAAAAAGTGCAGCAAGAGAACAGTGCCAAAAACCACAGAAACTTCTTTCTGACCATAGCTTTGTCTCTGCATGACATGCTGTCTGAAAAACTCGGGTTTGGATTTGAAGAGAAAAGCATGTTCAAACAGAAGGCAGCACATGCAGCAATTTGGTTTATTTCACAGGACAGATGTATTTGACAATGTGTTCTTAGAGACACATTTTTCCCCTTAGCAATGTGGGGGATGGATTTCACCCAAGTCTGAAATTATTGTCAGTGCAATAACTTCTTCAGCACCTTTTTGATGGGAGCTGAGTCTTATTTTTATAGTTATTTGTGAGGAGTGTTGGAAAGCAACCTTCCTCTGCAAGTGAAAAATCTAATTTTTCTTTGGCTGCTGCATTTGTGTCTGATGTACAGGTATTTCTAAGTTATTGTACCCATTCATGCTTATGAAAAATTATTAGACTCTCTCAAGTTCTTTTACATGAATCTTTTTCTGGAAGGTTTCAAGGCCAGGTTGGATGGGGACCTGAGCAATCTGGTCTAGTGGATGGCATCCCTACTCATGGCAAAGGGGTTGTATGATTCTGTCCCAGGAGCCTAAAATGCCTAAGCAGTCTCACAGGCAAGTGATATGGTTTTCTCTTACAGATGCTGAAAATTTATCTGGAAGAAATCCAGGGCTTGATTTCAATATGATTATGGCATTTGCACTCTGAATCCAAGTCAAGGGTGACAGCTGGTATATGCCTGGCCTTAAAATGTGTATTTCAGGGTGAAAACCAATTAAAAAGCACTAGAATCTAGAATATAAGAGAGGGAGTTGAACAAGAATCCCCAAATCCTCTTGCCAGCATTGTCTGAATAGACAGCTACTACCACTCACCCCCCATCTGTGCAGCCACACACTCCTCTGGTACTGGAACACAGGTTCCAGCAAATTCAGGACCATCCTGACTTGAGATGATCAGAACTGAGAAGGCTGGGAAAACAAAGCTGACATGCAAGACCCGACCTTCACAAGAGCTGACCTGGTAGACCTGCTTAGGCTACACCTCTAACACATTGTCTTCTTCCTCTAATGGTCTGTGGGGTGCTGTGGAGACCTCTCCCTTTGAGAAGCATTTGAAATGGCTGTCCTGAGCAGTTCTTTAGCTGAAAGGCTTAAGGATTAGAGGAAGATGTAAAAGAGGTTGGCTTTCTCAGCCTGATGCTTCAAACCCACAATTTTCTCCTTCCAGAAAAATGCCTTGCTCTCTACATCACATGCTGTGCTGAGTGGCTTGGGATAAACCTGGCATTTTACACATCTACAAAACCTTTGACAGCAAGGAATAAAAATTTGCTTTTAAAAATGCCAGAGCGTTTTTGTGCTGCCAGTGCAACACAAGAAAAATGGTATCTCCATGGTGTAGGGGTTCACACACCTAGCAGGAGGGAGGAGGACCTCCAGGATTCAAAACTGATCCTTTATTGTGTTTGCCAAATGTTAAAGGCACAAACTGACCTGAGGACAAGACATGTTCATGGTTCCCAGTTCCCAGGCCACCAGCTGTTACTGTCTTCTTCTTGTCCCATTTACCATGTTCTTGTCCCATTTATCATGTGCCTTATCTACTCTGCCTTGCTGCTTCCATTGCAATCCCACTCAATGCAAATTCTTGAGGCAAAGGCACCTTTGATGCTTCCAGAAGGAGAGAGTTACACACAAGCAGAGATTTGAACATATCTGCTGAAAAGCAGAGGCACTTTTCCCTGTCTGACCACTGCTCACTGGCTGTAGCTGTGGGAGGCCATGTCACAGCCCAGGAGCTGGGTTTGTGCACAGCAGGAGGGAAAACACCTGATCGTGTGAGAATACTAAATGTTTACTCAGTGGGATGTATCTGAGCAACTCAAACACTCTGCGTGTGTGTTGGTAACGTGCCCAGCAGAGCATAAAGCTGACAGAGAACCTTGATCCACCAAAAACCTCAGAAGTTGCTTGTGGAGAGTGCAAGTAATTGTGACTGACTGACTCCATTCAACCAGCAACTGTTCTGGTGGGACATGGACGCAGTCACCTCTCCCAGATGTGCCTGTCCAGGTCCTGATCTACTCTGGAGGTACCTTACAGAGCATGATCCGAAATATGAAGGGAAGAAGAAACTCAAGATCTCTGGCAGAGAGCTGCTGTCAGTTCCCGTACAGGTCTTTGGTTTGGACCAGCTGCAGGTGCTGGAGATGAGCCCAGAACGAGAGAGCTGCCTGAGGTACAGGATGGAGCTGCTTCCCCAGGAGATTGGCCATCTGAGGAACCTCACCTGCCTCTATGTGGACTCCAACAACTTGAAGACAATCCCTGCTGAAATTGGCACTTTGAGCCACTTGGAGAGGCTCACTCTGAGCAACAACAGCCTGAGCTCACTGCCCGCAGAGATGGGGGCACTCCAAAGGCTGCACAGCCTCCACCTTGCCAACAACAACTTCACTGAGTTGCCTGCACCCCTCTGCCAGCTGAAGAGCCTCACCTTTCTGGATGTGAGCGACAACAAAATAGATACCATCACCTCCAGCATTCGGCATCTGGAGAAACTGGAAACGTTGCTGTTGCTCTTTAACTCACTGGAGAGCCTTCCTGAGGATATCTGCCTTCTAAGGAATCTGCACACACTTTGGTTGGGAAACAACCATCTACGGTGCCTTCCAGCAGCCTTTGGGGAGCTGGTGAACCTGGACTGGGGATACAACTACTGCTCATGCAATTTTGAGGGGAATCCACTGGAGAGTCCTCCCCCTGAAGTCTGCAGCAGAGGCCCTGAAGGGATCAGAGACTATTTCTCATCACTTTGTAGGATTTGGAGAGACTAAACCACTGTTGTCAGCCCTCTTGAAGTGACTGTGATGGATTTATCCTGTGCAAATCATCTGCACAAGCAAAATGTGTTTCAGAAAGGTCTTTTGAAATCACTCTGTGGAGCTCAAAAAGCTTCCTCTCTGCTGTAAGGTGATTTCTCTGGCAGTCTTCTTCTTCTTTTTGTTATTTTTTAATTTTTTTTTTTAACTAGTATTGAACAGTGGTGCACACCTTTTAAAAACTCATCCAGAGACAACTGTAATCTTTTTTTCATGTTTATAGTTGCATGAGCTTTTCTCAGGAAATGTTGCAGACAAACATCCAGTCTGAGAAAACAAGCAAGTCTGAAATTATAGAGTCAGGTAAACAACTGGTATGTAAATAGCAATAATCTGTGCTCTTTGTTTGCACACTGGGTTGGGGCTTGAGTCTGGATTGGAAGTAAGTGCAAGCTGAGATTTCTGGAAGCTTTTAAGGTCATACTAATTTGTGAATTTGACTTTATTCAGGTAGCCCAGAATCTCATCATTTCCCCTGGTATTTTGCATGAAACACAGAGGTTGAATCAGCTCAGGCTTCTGTCTGGCTCTGGATGAAAAGCAACCTGTATCCATGTCCCACAAGATACTGTGAAAACAATGTCTCCATTCCTTTGGCAGGACATGGTGTATTTTTCCTGAAGAGCAACGTCAGCTGGCTCTGCAGAGTACACAGTCAAGGCTGTCACCCTCTCTGGAGGCAGCATGGACCTGGGCTTGATGTGCCAGCCCATCCAGAGCAGACCTCAGAGAGACCTCAGAGAGACCTCAGACCTCACTCAGCTCCTTGGAGCTTGGTGATGCACAGGGGTAGCCCAGATTTAGAGCAGACAGCACTAGCAGAAAAAGTTTCCACTTTCACTGAGTCTGGGAAAGTCTTTAGAGCTATTAAAATATGAGTATGAAACTTCCTGCAAGGGAACATTCTGAGAATCCTGTCATAATCATAAAAGGCTTCATCAGTGTTATATTATGGAAATTTGCTGAGACTCCTTTCTGTTTAATTTTGCTCTCTCTTCACCCTATCATCAACATTTTCCTCCCACCTCTCTTTAACTTTGCTCTTCGTGGGTGTTTTCTCTGTGGCTACTCCATCTGACATTTGTGTTTCATTATTTTCTCATCATCAAAAGCCTCTCATTCCCTTATAAATCCTTTTCTTTCCCCTCTGTATCCTTTGTTTCCTACTTCTCCTTTGGCCAGGGAAAGATGCAGTTTTCTGTATTTCCTGGAAGGAGGGGCTGAGTCAGGCCTGGTGGGAGCTGAGCATGTTCTTACAGCATTCAGAGAAAAAGGGAGAAAGGCAGAGACATTGATACACAGGTCATTAATTCTCTTGTTCAGTGTCCTGTCATTTTCTTCTCCTTATAGCAAAGATCAGCACAAGGAGATCTGAATCAATGCTGAATTTTTTCTGGGTGACAGAAGCACAACTCCAGATATGTTTAACAAACGGATTTTTACATTGCTCTGTCCCTGACCTCTGTGAATTTTTCAAACCAGCTGTGACTTTTTGGTGTCATGGTAACCAGATTCATTATATCAGTGGGCTATCACATAGAGATAAATGAGTGCATGGCAGTAATGGGCACACAATTACATCACACCAGTTCATTCCATTTTCCTGCAGCTGATTATTTCTAAGAAATGTGACATAGGAAAGAAGGGAGTAAAGGGACTACAGTGCCTTGCTCAGTTGGCTCTTTCTGTGGCAGAATGGAGAACTGGAGCTGAAAGAGCAAGACAATGAACTCCGAGTCTTTTGCAATTCTGGGTTTTTTTCAGAGGAGATTTGGGACAGTGTGTGAAGTAGCTCCTGAAACTGATGCCAACTCAGGCAGAGGCTGTATCAAGGTGTCAACGTTGAAGATGTTGAATGACTGTCTTGTTCCTGTTCCTGTCATTGATGCATTCTCCAGACTCATACAGGTCTTATTTCCCCACTATTTCTGCTATTTCCCCATTTCTGTCACCCCATTCAATATGTGCAGGCATTGGGCCTTGCTAAAGCCTGCCTGGTATAAGACATGAGGTTAAAGGCAGTGTGAGCAGTGGGGCCCAAGTAAAGACAAGGTTATCATCCTAATTTTGGACATGTGTGGGAATTAAATTCTAGTGACTGTGATCTTTTTAGAGGATTGAGTCTAACATGCAAAATCCTACCAGAGCATCATCTTACACAGGTGCTAAGAGGGACAAATTTCTCATGTCCTGTGTCAAACCCTTCAGATTCAATGTTGCTGTTTTTCTTCTACATCGTACAGGGTTGGGCTTGAGGCTCCATTTCAAATTCTGACTATCCTTCCCTTCTGCATCTTGGTTGGTGATTCCTGAAAGGCAAGCTGACTTCAGCTTCTTTGGGCACTACATAGCAACTCAAAGCTTTCACTTTTGGTTTTAGCCAATCAGGATTCACAGGTTTTGTTTAACTAACCCTCTCCCCAAAACCCACAAACATAATTTGTGAAGCCTGATTGTGTCTGCTAATAATATACCTGTCATAGCTAGGAGTGAATGGAGCTAAAAAGGGGGCTTAACGAATACAAAAAAGAAAAAAAAAATCTCTAAAAAACAGTGGCAATATTTCTATTATAATTCTCTAGTCTGTTGGGAAGAGAAATTCTGTGAAACTAATGCAAGTGAGGGCACTTTGACCATGCCATCAAGTTGCTTGAGCAGATTGAATATGTTACTGAGATAGGTCGTGACACCTTGTTTTCTGTTTCCCCTTCCTTTCCCTTTGTCCTGATTGCTTCCAAAATCCCACTTCCCAAAGTAGAAAACCCAATAGTTCATATTCTTTGCAGTATTCTGGCATCTGTGTTAATGACATAGTTATGCAGAGCAATAAGTAGATCCTGGTGTTGTCATTAAGATGGCATTAAAATCTAATCTCAAACTGCTTATCTTGTATTTGTTGTACTTTATGTATTGTTGCTAAGCATCCTCCTTTGCCGTGCTCATTAAAACTTCAAGTGTTAATATCAGAAAATGGTAAACTGCTAGGATATAGGCCCCTGGTGAAGAAGCATGGATATAATCCATACTCAGGGATAGGGGGAAGGAGAGAGAGGGGAAATTGGTAAACCTGTCATTCAGTGTTGATGTGAGTTGTGCTTGTATTTCCCTTTGCCCTGTCTTGCGCTGCAAACAGCCTGGCCTAGGAGAGCATCATCCCCTGGAATCACACAGGACTTCCATCTGAAAACTTTGAACTCTTGCAGCAGAGCAGTAATGAAATGTAAAAGCAGTGAGTGGAAATAGCTCTGAATAGAAATTCAGGGAAATATTATATATAAGGGTAGAGGGCTTTTTAATTTAACATACAAGTACATAACACTTCACAGGCTGGTAGCTCGAGCTGGACAAGTTCTGACTACAGATAAGCTGCATATTTTTAATGCTTGAGAGTTCACCTCAGGACACGGCAGATTGTCTACCCCCTGAAATCTGAAAACCCCACAGTCTCACTCACCTGAAGGTATGACTGTATAGCACTTGCCTTATTTTATGCAAAGTGAAATTTACAAAGGGCTCCTTCTGTCTTTGAAGTATATGTTTACAATCTATGACTACCATAAATCTAAAAGATTAGATCCCAGCATTTACTTATTTCTCCCTCAATTTGCCTTTACATGAAATTCAGCATTAGTTTTTAATGGCTATGAGCAGTACTTAAAAAGTTGAAGGCTCCTAAGTTTCATGATCAGGGCTCTTGTGGCCAGTGATGGAGTCTCTGAGCTGGCAAAACAAAAATGAAAAAGCAGTTGCTGTTCTCCTCATGCCTGTTGGAGTCAGCAGCAGATTTCCAAGCTCACAAATGAAAGACTGATCCTAAATTCACCTTGAGTAGACTTTAACACCAACCAGTTTTCCAATTCTTTGAAAGGTGTTGAGGTTGATCAATCGGACATACTGCATAGTAGCAGACTTCAAAGGAAACGTGACTTTGCAGACTGCCAGAAAACAAAGGACACTGCATGTACTGCCCTACATGTATGACAAATATATTTGGTATCAGAGAGTGGTAGCTTGTGAATGTGCGCTTGTTGGGGAAAAGGTCATCCCATCAAGAGAGGCCACTGTTCCTGCTGGCTGCATGGACCCCAACACCACCTGCCTTTCTGTCTTCCTCTGGGCTCTGCAGCCTCATCTCAGAACACGAGAGTCCAACTTCAGAAATGACATTTTCAGGTGATGCAGCACTGAGTCACTGCAAGAGGCTCAGGTCTGACATGAATCCAGAAGATTGACAGGTTTAGTAATCATTGAATGCAAATAACTCCTCACTGCCAGAGGAACCACATTCAATGGAACATGTTTTCCTACACTTGGGCAATGGTACTACAGGAGAAGAAAAGCAATCTATCATGGGCAACTGCCATATTGTTCAGCACATTAAATTGCAATGAAAGCCTAAATAGCATATCTAATGAAGATCACTCCATCCATGCAAAGTATGAGTTTTGACTCCCCAGAGTGTTCTGCCCATGAACCAAGAGACAATGGTGCTTAAATAAATGTGACATCCAAGCCATGAATTTCTTATGTTTAATAAAGATCTCAGCAGTCATCAATAAGCTTTTTATTTTTCAGCCGCCCTATGGACACTATAAAATGTGTTGCCATTCTCACTTCCATGCAAACAACTTGCTTTGAACAGTTCAGGCAGCAAGAGGGGGAGAGACTGATGCCACAAGCAAAGCCCAGATGGAATAACCCACACTGAGATTTTGTGCTGAAACTCAGTGGGTTTTGCCAGACTTGAGACAGAGCCAGTCTGGAGCTCACTGCTGCTGAGATTCCCAACGAGATCCCACTTCCAGTCATTTCGTGTGTGAAATTTATGAGGACTTGCTTTCAGCAGGACACAGTGAGTCCTGCATCAAAGGTATTGATCCAGCTGAGGTCAGGCTATTAGCACAAAGCCGTGTCTAAAAGAAATCTTCCAAATGCTTTGCAAATCTCACTGCTGAAAAATTCAAACTGAAACTTCTAATTGTAAAGAAAGCTGCTTTTTGTTTGTTTTGTTTCCTATTCCTTGGAGACTTAGAAAAAGATTATTGTACTCTTGTTTGCAACAAGCCTTTTAAATGCATGAAGCTTGTTGAAGAGCTTCTTGTGAGACTTACTAAAGTTAAATAAACACTGAGCCTGCAATTCTTTCTGCTCTGGCCATGTTTTTTACATCTCAGGTAGTCCTCTTCTCCTCTGGACTGTTGCTGCACACCTTTTTATTGAGCTGACACATTCAAAATGGAATATGACGTGGTATCTGAAGTCTTTCTAGTGACAAAGGAAGAACTGTTGCACATCTTTTATGTTATAACCCTGTTTGTTCACTCCTGCGTGTGGCAGTTTCTTAACTTTTTAACAAGGAATTCACCTTGTCATCTACTGCAATTCCATAATTTGCTACAGAGCTGCTATTAGCAAGTTTTGGTATTTGTGTATATTGTAAGCTGAAGTTTGTGGCCTTGCACTTGTCCCTGCTGAATTTCAGCTTTCCCTTTCCCACCCCAAATGTTATACAATTCTTCCAAATAATTCTGAATTCAAACCCTGTCCTCAGTGCTTACGATGTCTCTGAGCATTATGCCATCTGAAAATTTAATAACCATACTTTCTTTTCTATCATCTAATTCATTAATGAAAGCATATGCCAGGACCGTATGCAGAAGAGACCTGGCTGAACTCCATTTCTGCATCCTTCCCCTCTGACAAAGCACCATTGATAACCTTTCTGATACGTTATCAAGCCAGCTTTGCACCCAATCGATCACAGTCTCATCTAGACC